TTCCGCTCTTTTTTCCTTTCAGGACTCGTGAAGACATCTTTACTAATGGATGTTAGCTGCTCTTCTGGTGCGACCGGTACTTCTTCTTCTGGAATTGTTTCTAACTGCCCTATATTCTCATCCGGTGACATTGCTGCCATGCCCACATCATCAAAGTCATCCATGCGGTCTTCCTGAAAAGACTTTTCATTGCACCTAATAATAAAAGGATTTGAAGCAGAATCTTTTAAGGAAAATATCATAGAATTTCAGAGAATTTATACCAAAAGTCCCGACACAATGCTGCCCTCGGGTTCAATGTTATCGTCAACATGTTCTGCCATTTCCAAATCCTTTCGTATTTGGTCCCCCGTGAGTGCGCTTGTAGTATGCACACGGTAAACAAGATGAGAACGGTACAGCTATAAAATAATGCATAAAATTGACATTTATAACTAATGAATATTTCACATGATTTCCTCTACACAAAAAATTTATAAAATAATCCTTTAAATGAAGAAATAAGGAATTTTTCAGCAATATTTGAGAAAGATATTGTATTAAATCTAACTAATCGTCATATAATTTCTGATTTCATTCCTCTAAATTTACCTTTAAAAGATTTTCAGCTCGTAGATGTGCACAACCTGGAATAGCAAATAGTTTATCAGCAGTTCCAGTTTCTTTGAGTTTCATCAATTTCCTTGTGGGTGGTGCAAGATCCAAAGGTTGTAGCGTGTCTCTGCAAAGAGTGTGACTCTCAAAAACTAAAGCTTAAAACAAAATTTAGTCTTATATTTTGTTACATTAACGTATATAGGATATCTTTCTCTATTAATAGCACTGCGCAAAAGCAAAAAAAAAAAGAAAAGAAAAGAAAGGAAGAAAACAACTAGTATAGCAGGCTAATAAGTTCACTTCCAGCTGAAAATAACGAAGAAAAAGCAAAATACAAATCACAACCATTTGGTGACTATGTACCTGTATTCAGCCATATTTCCTTTCATTTCGTCTCCTGAAATATTCTTCTGTTCGTCAACTATCAATCGACGTCTACGTTTCGGTCGTCCTGGCTTCTCGATCCCAGCTACAGCAACAGCAGCTGCATCCAGTGGTTCAAGAGTGAAACTTTCACTAGCCAGTCCACCTGAAGTGCGGACCAGCATTAATGGAGTTGACAAATTTGGCGATCACAAGAATCAGGAGACGCACCAGTAGTGGGAATTACAAGTCCCGCTATTGCTGTCGCGGCGACATCTTCCGTTTCCATCGGAATATCGTGTTCAGCTCCAGGAGCTTCCATTGCATCCAAACTTTTTGCCAATTCGCTTTCATTGAAGATTACTTCTGCAATAACATGAAGGATTTTATTATGCTTATTATAAATTACTCCAACTTCATCCCAAAATTTCATGCTAAATTTATTGAGAAAATAGCATTCCATCAGATCAGGTAGGAATAGAAAACGCTGAATGTCTTGTAAAGGTTTTAACGGTCGCCTGATAGCTAAGACTGTTTTGAAGAACCATATAAATCCGAAGTTATAATCCCTCTAGTTCTGTTGTTAACTTTTTAAGAGCAATTGGAATATACCTAACTGAATTCCATAAATCAAAAGCAGTTACCGTCTAACATGTTGTCAGCAGGGAAATCACCAAAATCATCATCCGGCATTGGCATTCCAAGATGATCAGCAATATCAACATCCATCGGTTTTTCGCTAATAGCATCACCCTTCTCGCTACCCGGTTCAGATTCCTCCAGAATCGTTGCTGCAGATCTACTGATTCCTGCCTCCGGTGCATAGGATACACGTTCACGAGCTTCTTCGATGTTAACATCACTGAATAAACCTAATGAACTTTCTCCAAAATCATCGCCCTGAAAATGCTTATCTATACAGCATGCTTAAGATCTCAAAAAATAATACAAGTGAAAAAATTCTGATAGAAACCAAGAAGCAAATTTGAAATAACACAAATGTATCATCATTAAAAGTACCCCAAATTCCGCTCCGAAAGGCATATCTGTCGTTTCTGGGATAATATCTTCTTTCAGAGTAATATCATCAATTCGACTTTGGTTGATATGAATTTGTGCATGCATGTCCAGTTCATTGAAATCCGGTAATGCAGCATCAAAATCATGAAATACCTGAAATTTCGACAGTACCATGAATAAAGAGATGTCAATTCAGTGATTTCATTGCGTTCATTTTACTTTTCAAATTTCAAATTTTTCAATTTTTAGAATTCAATTTAGACAATTCTATGGTTGTAAAATGGAAGGAAAAAAGAAAAAGAAACTGTTAATTAATTCATCCAAAGGAAATCCAACTAAACTGAACCAATGGAATTGCTTTTTTTCGAAATAATCTTCTA